TATAATAAAATGAAATATGACAAGCACAACTTGCCTTTTTTGTTAAATGTGTCTGTGTCATGCTGCACATTCACCTGTAGATGGAGACAATTCAAAACAATTCAGTCCCAGGCTCCAATCCTAACCCACCACACACTTCCAGTCAGATACAGTTAACTTCTGTGCGTTGAAATAATGTTATGACCTTGTCTAGTGTACAAATGATAATGCTTTAATGTATTTATTCGCATAATATTAAGGTTCTCTGCTATGTTTAGTATCAGGTAGATGTGTATTAGTTCAAACTGGGTTTAATAACAAAATGAAAATAGTTTGGTTTTCTGGGAGTGAAGCACTCATGGAAATATTGATGTTTTAAGTGAATAATTAATGTTTGTCCTAATTCAACAATTGTCAGAGGAGCTTCTGACAAGGATCTGATCTCTGTAAAGAGGAGCAATATATTGTGAAAGTGCTCATCAAACTGCACTGAATCCAACTGACAGTTCATTAATTAATGAACACACTGGAAGTACTTGATCTGGGTCGTGTCAGTAGCTCATTATAACATTTACTGTAAATACTCTGCAGATTTACATTAAACACTGCACATTTATAGTTAACACACTGCAGGAATAGTACATCTGGAGAAACCGGTTCGTTCACTTTTGTTTCACATTCAGTTCTGAGAAAACAAGAGGATCTCAGTGACTCTTCAATTCAAAATTCCACACATATTAAATGTGTCTACATAAAATCAATGTTTCTGTCAGCCCAAACGCAGACAGAGGCATGTGGATTTCAGAAAGCAGGAGATAAAGTGATAATCAGTAGCGTTTATTGAATCATTTTCCACGCTCAGTTAGACATCGTCTGACCAACACAATTTCAGCAAGTGTTATTATACCAAAACAAAAATCACTGCTTTACAACATCATCATGTGATAATAAATCCTTGAAATAGAGACGGTCTCTTTCTCGTATCTACTTACTTGTGAAGGCAACACAGCACACAACATACAGCTAGGATTAAACAGTAACAGAATAACAACATAATGATTGCTGTACATATATGTTATATACGTGTAGGAAGTAATGTGGTAGAGATAAATAAACAGCATGAATGACGTACAATACAAATGTTTGTTTGCTCTCTTAAATATGCTCTCTTATATACACCATAAATATCACATCTGTAACTAATTTATATAGTTACATCTATAATCACACTGTTGACCCTATCACTATCCCTTAACCTGTCCTTAACCTTACTCGTATTCAATAGCAGGAACAGTATTTTGCAATATAATAAAGACAATAAATACTTTTTTGATATATAATATTTACAGACATCTAATACAAAGAGAGATTGAATATACCTAGTAGTTTTACACATTCATGTTTTACAACATTTGAATGTGCAACATGCAATTACTATTTCTGTAGTTAAACTCATACGTTATATACTCCATACATCAAATCTTTTCATAATCAGACATAGGACCATGACTCGGATAGATGCAGAAGTCAGTTGTTTGTCTGTTGTGTGATCTTACACAGTGACAGTGAGGAATAAAAAACCTTAAAGCCAGCATAGAGGGGTTCAGTGAATGTGGTGTTGAATGTGTGTAAGTGTGTGAGTGTGTGTGTGTCAGAGACGCTGTAGAAGGACAGAGTGCCGTCCGACACGTCCAGATACACTCCTACTCTTTTAGAGGAAGGTGAAGGGGCAGGAATGTTGTTGCTCAGATTGTTGTGCCAGACAACAAATCCATCAACAGTGTAGAAGAGACACCAGGACTTGTTATTGTATCCAAACTTACAGATCATCCCTTCCTTCCTGCTGATTGTTTTATAGGCCACTGCTACACGAGCCCAGCCAGTCCGCTCAACCTCCCAGTAATGGCGTCCAGTCAGACTCTCTCGACACAGAACCTGAGGAATATTTTTAAATCTGTCTGGATGATCAGGATACTGCTGCTGCTCATCCACAAATTTCACCTCTCCGTTCTCAGACAGAATGAGTTGAGTGCTCGCTGTGTTTGGATCCAGTGTGAGATCACAGAAATCTGAATACAAGAAGAGAGATGAAAATAGTTGTATAATTTTGTTTGTTTTCATAAAATGTGCAAGAGTGTGCCAGACAAAGAACCTACATTTTTGCAGTCCTGGTTGGATCCTGAAAGGCTCTCCATGGTCCAAACTAAAATAACACAAACATACAGACATAAAGCAATTGGAATAGTTATTCACATACAGTCCTTTAATGTAATGATTCCAGTTCATTTGTAAATCATTTTCTCAAGCTGTATGTCTCAGTGTTTCAATATATTCAGTCCATAGTGAACAGGTTTACAGGAAATACGAGTTACAACTTTTTTTTTTCTCGATAGTGTACTTTAGACATTGTACTAAATATAAGTAACTATGCAACTTTATGTGAACTAACTCTGATTAGAGTATTAGTAGACTGTTAGGTTAGGGTTGGTGTTAGTAGAATAAACTGACATGTACTTGCAAAGATATTTATAGCCAGAGGATTGTCTGTTGGGAACAGCAGATATTAAGCAAACAGTCTACTAATACTCAAATGATTGTTAGTTGACTTAAACTTGCAAAGTTACTTTTACAGAATGTCTGAAGTGGACAGATACATTTTTTGAGCATAGGGATTGAATTAGTACATGCAGAGATGTGAAGTTTGGGCTCTTGCTGCAGACAAGGTTTCTAAACTTGTACCCCACATACTTGAGTTTCTGCAGTGAGCAGTTTGGATCCTTCAGTTCGTCAGAGAGCAGCTTGATTCCTGATTGTCCTGGGTGATTGTAGCTCAGATCCAGCTCTCTCAGGTGTGAGGGGTTTCAGCTCAGAGCTGAAGACAGATAACGACAGCCTTCCTCTGTCACCATACAGCCTGACAACCTACAAACACACATCAACAGATTGCATCATCTGTGAAGCCCTTAACTCTCAAATACCTGAGGAATTATTGTTGATCTCAGTTTTAAACCTGTATGCATGTCCTTACTGGATTTCTCGTCTTATAAAATTATATGCACAAATATTGTGAAGTGGTGAAGTGACTCATGAAACAATCAATTAAATGCAATACAACATCTTGAAACAGGCTCTTTTAATATAAATATTTTTAACTTTTTAACTTATTAAAAACACAAGTGCTGAACTTTGGTCACACCAAAGAAAATAGTCTGCACACTTAATATTATATTAGTGTAATCTGCAGACATTGCAGAAATATGGGCTTTCAGAAGTGTATTTTTTTGAATCAGACATCAAGTCTATAGGCAAACTTCCCAAACCTGCCTCACCTCCCTCGTCAGCCTGACTTCAAAGATTTAACTGGGCAGAAAGAGGGGAAGAGGGAAAGTGTTTGGTGACATCTGATCTTAAAGACCTGCTGCATTGACAACAACTTGAGAATTTATGAATGTATAATGTTCTAAAAGACCTTAGTATCTCCAGCTGACAGTTTTGACTCTTCAGTCCATCGGAGAGCAGCTTCACTCCTGAATCCTGCAAGTCATTGTTACTCAGGTCCAGCTCTCTAAGGACAGAATTTGAGGATTGTAGAGCGGATGACACAATCTCACAATGTTGGTCAGTGAGATTATAGCCAGCAAGACTGAAGCAGAACAGAACACAAAATAATCAAATTATTAACCTAATTCTACAATTAGCATTGCAATATCTACTTAATTTATGTTAAACAGATCAGGACATTCTAAAAATAAGCAAAACAATACCCTGTGGAAAAAAAACAGCATATGCTGGTTAGATATGTTTTAAAGCATGGCTGCTGGTTTGGGCTGGTTCTTAGCTGGTCATGTGCTGGTTTTAAGCTGGTACTGAGTAGGAGCTAGTTGCTTAGGACCAGTTTAGAACCAGCTTAAACCAGCTCAAACCAGCAGAACATACATAACCAGCATATGCTGTTTTTTTTTTCAACAGGGTAGAAAGTGCAATTCCATTCAGAAAGGACTCTTCATTGTAAGACATGGGTTAAACACTCACAGAGCTTTTCTGCAGTTGATCACAGCTGATATCAGTCTTCTTCTACCTTCATCTGATGTGTTGTATTTCTTGAGATCCAGCTCATCCAGCACCTCTGATATCTGAAGCATGTAGGCAATTGTTGAGCAGTGAGATGGAGAGAGTTTCTTCTCTGAGTGCTTGTCTGATTTCACAAACTCCTGAATCTCTCTGGACAGAGTCTGATCCT